ACCCGCAACGAGCTATCGCCTTCTTCTTTGCCTGTACTCCTGTGAGGTCCTCGGTCTCCTCGACGCCACCACTGACTACCGCTGCAAGATCATCAAATACCTCGACGACATTGTACTGATGGGTCCCGCGGAGGACGTGGCGGCCGACGTCGAGATTGTTAAGGCTCGTGCAGAGTCTGCTGGCCTTCATCTGCAGCCCAGTAAGAGCCGCTTCTACATGCCTCGCCACCATCCCGCTTCCGTCGCTGCTATCGAGTCTGCCTTGCCAGATGCCGTGCACGAGACGGCCAACACGGGCATGACGGTCTTGGGAACGCCGATTGGCCGTCGCGAGTGGATGAAGAAGCAGCTGAACGACAAGGCAAAGCACATTGCTGGCAAGCTCAATGACACGAGATTGTGGCCGACAAGGTCCCTGGCCTCTTGCGCGCCTTTGAACGACACTATGCTCGACCCACTACCCACTGCATTGTCGACAAGTTCTTCAAGGTGATTGACATTGATGTTGGCCAAGGCATTGTGCAGGGCAACGAGCTATCGCCCTTCTTCTTTGCCCTGTACTCCTGTGAGGTCCTGGGTCTCCTCGACGCTACCACTGACTACCGCTGCAAGGTCATCAAATACCTCGACGACATTGTACTGATGGGTCCCGCGGGGGACGTGGCGGCCGACGTGGAGATTGTCAAGGCTCGTGCAGAGTCTGCTGGCCTTCATCTGCAGCCCAGTAAGAGCCGCTTCTACATGCCTCGCCACCATTCGGCTTCCATCACTGCTATCAAGTCTGTATTGCCAGATGCCGTGCGCGAGACGGCCAACACGGGCATGACGGTCTTGGGAACGCCGATTGGCCGTCGCGAGTGGATGAAGAAGCAGCTGAACGACAAGGCAAAGCACATTGCTGGCAAGCTCAATGACATGCTGACGACCGGTGTCTCGCTTCAGGCCCTCCTCACGGCCATGCAGTACGTGCCTAGCCTCATCAACCACCTCTACACGCTGCCCCCAAGTCTGACGTCGGGCTTGTCCGAGCTCTTGAACCGTGCTTGCAAGGACACCTTTGTCAAAGCCTTTTTGCCAAGGTAAACCTGTCTCA